CGAGAGCAGAGAGAGAGAGAGAGAGCACGCCCTCACTCCTCCGTTTCGCCCGAGCGGTGGGAGACCTAGGCACTCATCGCAGTCAGCCGCTTCCTGGCAGCCTCTCTCTTCCGTCCGGGGCCATGGCCATGACGCCCCAGCCGGCGTCCATGGACATGTTGGCCGCCTCGATGGCCTCCGTGATGGACCCGATCCTCGACAAGGCATCGCCCGCAGACGCCGGGCACCCTTGGTGGCACCTTCTCCCATCCAGCGGTTCTTATGTGCTCCGAGCGGCTGGTTCACCTTCAGCAGGAGCGCGTTGCAGGCGCCCACCTCCAGGGCCTTCTTCACACGCGTCGGGTTCGTGACCAACCTTTGAAGAGAGAGAAGAAGAAGAAGAAGGCATCTTGCAGGGATGTCGCGGGGGAGGGTGTTGAAGGAGCTGTGTGGACAAACCTTGCTTGGGTCCAGGGTGCAGGTCGTCCCCGACGATCTGCGTGTCCTTGCCGACCTCTGCCATGAAGGCCTTGTAGGCATCCCAGTCGTCTTGATCGAAGGGGTCCTCTCAGCTTTATAAGACCCCAAACAAACTGAGAGAGCTCTGAAAGATGCTTAGGGGAGGGCCCCGGCCCCCGGCCCGGGGGCCCCGGCCTCGATGGAGACGAAGGGGTACTTCGACAGCCAGCTCTTGTAGTAGTCAATGAGCTGCGGCACGGACTTCTTCATCTCCGCGGCACCGCCGGCCTCGTTCTTGAAGTCCAAGTCGTAGATCTGCGAGCGCAGGCAGCTGCAGTGCGGGGGAGTCTCTGCGGGAGAGTGTTTGGGTGTAGGGAGCGCCTTCTCGTCGGATTTGTAGAACTCCGAGGCTGCCACGTCGGTGCCGATCTTCACCTTGCCTCAGAACGCGGCGCGTTCCCAAGAGGAGCCACCGCTCTTTCGCCACGCTCTCTCCGGCCACGCTCCCCGGCCCGGGCCTTCGTGGCCAGACTTCTTGATGGCTTCCATCAGCACATCCAGCGCCTGGGCCAAAGGGATCCTCGACGCCCCCTCCTCTCCGACAGGGTCCCCCGGTCCCCCGCCTCGTTGTTGTCCTGCACGTTGGGGGCAAAGCCGCCTCCAGTGCCAGGTGTCGCAGCGGCACCCTTCGAAACTCGTGTAAACTCTCACTGCTTCGCTCCTTCATCGCCCACGTTGCACGCATCCTCTGCAGAGGAGAAAAAGGGATTCTCCCAGCTCTGCACTCGTCCCCCGGTCCTGGCCGTACTTCTTCTTGATCACCGACTTCAGGTTGTGGTAGACCTCCTGGGGAGCGGCCGGGGGAATCCATCACCCGTTCATCACCCGTCTTCTTCTTCTCTCTCTCGCTCTCTTGCTTGCTTGCTTGCAAGGCGTTTGGAGCTAAGGGTTGCCCCCTAGACTCCTGCGCACAGCGCTACGCCCCTCTCGCTCTCTCTCGCTCGCTCTCTCTCTCTCTCTCTCTCTCTCTCTCTGTCTTGCCACTGAGCAGGGAAACTTCTTCGGTAATCGACATGCTCCACGCAGGAGATGTCCAAAATTCTGGCTGTGTTCAGTCACGCGTTCGGGATCTGAGGTTTAACATTTTGTGATTTAGGGTTCAAGTTTCAGCTTACTGGGTTCTACAGAGATCGACAATTGAAACTTGTTGCACCTCAACTCCGAAACACCGGTTCAGTGGATCCACTCCCACTGGGGCTGCTAAGCCGCAACGGCAAAGACTTCCAAAATCTGGACGACCGGTTAAGGTAATGCAGGGCAGTACTTTTGGTACCGAGACCTTCTAGCCGCCCTCAAACACTTACATCACAATTATAGGAACCATACACCCCCTTTTGAAGTCTAGAAGAGAGGCTCCTTGTAGGGCATTGAAGTTTAGCGCCACTTGAACAAACCGTCATGCCCCAAACCCGAGAAAACCTGCGAGACGATCACTCCACCGTCTTCTGCGGAAGGGCCAAGCGTCAGCGCCGACGATCATCGCCTCCTTGAAGGAAGCGGCACCCACGGGCAGGATCATGAACTCCTTGATGCATGCAAGAAGACCCCCCAACACCCAAATCTTCTCTGCTCTGCGGACGGAGAGAGGGAGAGAGGGAAGAGGAGAGGGAGTGGGGAGAAAAAAAGGGAGGGGAGAGGCTCTCATGGCTCTCGCTCCCCCTTCCGCTCCCAAAACGCCAAAAGCCCTTGCAGGCGAGAGCTGCTCTGGACTTGCCCGTGTTTTGCGCGCGACTCGTCGCTGGGTGACTCTCAACAGAGAGAGGGACAGAGAGAGAGAGAGGGGGAGAGGGGGAGAGGGAGAGAGAGAGAGAGGGAGAGAGAGAGAGAAGGAGAGAGAGACAGGAGACAGAGAGAGAGAGAGAGGGGAGAGAAGGGGAGAGAAGGGGAGAGAGGGAGAGATACGGCAGACAGACAAAATCAGTGCAAGCCATGTTTTCCCACACCACATGAATACGGCAAAAGCATTGTCCGTGCACGGCCTGCCTGACAAGCCAAGCGGTTTCCAGCGTGGCTTCCTCCGTTGATCACGTTGAAGGAAGGGACCGGCATGACGAACCTCGGCGAAGAAGCGTCACAACCACATTTCACAGAGAGAGCATCCAAACATCTGAAAATGCACCAAACTGCTCTCGTCGTGCTTCCCTGCTTTTTTCTACCCGCATGCACTCCTCGTGGGTTGAAGTGATCCCAAGCAGACGCCTTGAAACACTTGAGGTACCGTCAGAGAGCAGCCCTCGAGGGTGGCAACCGCCGCGCCCCGCGCGGCCCGGTCCAGCTGGCGATTGCAGGATTGCGGATAAGGCTTCTCGGCTTATTATCAGCCGCCTTTTGCGGCAAAACCACTAAACTACCAAATCCAGCCCCACCCGTCCCGCGTGGCCTCGAAGCGGAAGGCATGCACCAAATTCAACAGTCGCAGGGCATGTTGCCAATTTCTTGCCTTCCTCAGATGAGCACAGGAATCAAGGCACCCCGACCCTCACATCTCCCGAAACGCAATCATGGGTGAATGTGGCTCTCCCGTCCTATGCACCTTGTGCTTGCATGCTGCTGGCCAGCTCACTGACTGCTGGATTTCTGCGTGGAGAATGTGATGCTATGTCTTGGGGAGGCAGTGGCGTGAACGTTTTTTCAGTGTAGTTTCCGCATGAAGACTTACTGTGGAGCTGTCATGTGAGAGCCGTGAACTGTGCGGCCAGAGCCTCTGACATGCCATCAGCGCCGTGCTGCAGAACACATCCGTTGCTGGTAGACTCCTTGCCTCAAACTCAAGAAGCAGGCGCATGGCTTGCGAGATCCGGCCGGCATTGGCACAAGCAGACACGGCTGCGGCAAAGCTGATGGCGTTGGCCTTCAGCGCCTCTGGCGGCCCGGCAAGGAGCTCACGAAGAAATCCCAATGCGGTCCGCCAATCTTGGCCCTTCTCGCAGGAGCTGATGGCTGCATTGTATGTTACCAAGGACACCTCAACCATCCTCGTCCAAAGCTCCTGAAAAAGATCCAAAGATATTGGCCAGAAAGAGGACTTCTCGCCCACGCTCATTGCAGCGGTGTAGCTTCTCAACTTCTCGTTCGACCGCCGACGCGGAGATTCCTGCAACAGCTCCAAAGCCAGCTGCCACGAACCCTCGCGCACTGGCGCCGAGAGCTTCACGGGCAGCGGCATCATGGCCGTGCATGTGTAAGCGTCGTCCTGCTTCGAATGACAAGGCACAATGCTTATGTACAATGCTGAACACTAACCTCTTGATGAACATCACAGCACTCAGCATGGTTTTGAGGTTGAGCTTCCGGTTAAAGACAGGTCAAGATCAAGCTCTACAGGGCTTAAAGCCTGCTCGGATCCTCCAGAACTTTGTCCACGAAGCTGCGCAGCATCACGGCCTGCTGCCACTCAGACTGGCCCGACAGAGCGGCAAAGGCCGAGTTGTAAGTGGAAACCACGCCGTCCACCGACGTGGCCGGGTGCCCAAACCTCACCAAAACATCTTGGAGCAGGCAAGCCGCCTGTCGCCATTCACGAGCAGTCGCGGCTAAGGAGGTGCTGTAGGTGACGAAGTTCAGCTGCACAGCCCTGCCGGAAGCATCCAACAGGAGCAACAGCACCTTCTCCCACATGTCTCCGCAAGCCTGAATGGTCGAAGTATATGTTATCGCATCAGGTTGAAGTCCGTTGAGCTCGAAGTCCCCCAGAAGCTTGAGGGCCTGCATCCACTTTGCAGCTCTCCCACAGCAAAGGATCGCTGAGTTGAGAGGCGCACAAGTTGCTTTCACTTCCCTTCTGCTCATCTCCTCCAGCAAGAGGAGCGCTTCTTGCCAGAGGCTTCCGCAGGCTGCCAGCGCACAGGAATACAGGATCACGTCCGGCTCCGTCTCAGCTTCCAAGACTGTGGCAAACAGGGAGAGCGCCATCTGAGATGCCAAGGCCTTTGCGCATGCATTCAGGGCCGAGGTGTAGAGCCTTACGCCAGGTTCTTCCCGCTTCCATCTGATCCAGCTCAGCATGTGCACAGCCTTCTGCCACTTTTCGGCCCTCCCAACTGCCTGGAGAGCAGTGTTGAGAATCTGATCCGACAGCCGAAGCGGAAGCTGTTCAGCTTCAGACACAACGGCGAGGGCCCGGAGCCACTGGCCGCCGCGGAGGGAGGCCACCACCGCTCCGAAGGTCACCACATTCGGCTGCTTCTGCTCTTGCGTGGCGTCGGTGCCGTTGCGCTGCTCCAGCCACAGCCGCTGACGCAACTGCAGTGCGGCTCGCCACATGGCCTCCCTTTGGCAGCAAAGGATCGCCGAGTTGAAAGTGACGAGGTCTGGCAGCAATCTTCTTGCTTCCATGTCCTCGACCAGGGAGAGCGCTCCGTGCCATCGAGACGCAGCCGTAGAGATCTGCGAGAGTGCAGAGATCCGCCGGTTGTAGTCCCCTACCCTCTTCTCGCTGCCCCCCATCCGGACATCCCCCCTCCCCGCGAGAAGGGCTGCGCAGCGGCGGTGCGTCTGAGCCGAACCCGAGCCCGAGCTCCAGAAAACATCCTCCCCTCCTCTGCCCTTATAATTTGTTTGTTGCGTCGGGCATGGGCCTAGACTCTAGACTACAAGTGTATCTCAGGGCCCCGGGCTTGTCTGTGGGCTTGCCAGAGATCTTGGCGATGTACTGGTAAAGGGGCATCTGGCCTCCAGACGAGTGCGGGCAGGGGAAGGAGACCTGAGACCACGTCTCGCTGGGTCCCTGGCTCGCAGCTGCGCCAGCACGGCAGACCGCCATGGACACGGCCAGGATTGCATTGGCACCTAATGCCCGATGCCCCACGATGCCCCACGATGACGGCGGCGCACCAAGTGGCCAAGAGAGAGCAAAGGCCAGGACCCAGCTTGGACTTGGACCAACCTCCAAAAGCACAGGAGAACCCTGCTGAACTCTCGCACTCGCTTCTCATCTCATGCTCGCTCAAGGTCTTGTGGGCTGGGAGCCGCGCCCCACTCGTTCTTGGAGCCGTCCAGCTGCTGAACCATGACCTCCCCACATTTACAGAAGCGCTGCTCCGCCTCGGCCTCCGCCTCCGCCCGGAGCCGAGCGCTTCAGGTTTCGGCCTCGTCGATCAGCTTCTGCTCGCGCACGTCCATGCCCACCAGCTTCGGCCCAATGATGTCGTTCACGTTCGCCACGGCCTGCCATGGACTCGGACCTTGAAAACTCTCTGCGGGAGCTCCCCCCGGCCTTAAGCACACCTTTCCCCAGCAGCCGGCCCTTGTCACCGTCGCGCAACTCCAGCGCCTGCGACCACGGAAAAGCCGGAGCCGAAGTGCGGCCGGCCCTCGTGCGCGGCCCATCACCGCGCCTCGTAGATGCCGGTGGAGGCACCGCTGGGCACCGCCGCGCGGAAGAGAGCCATCGGAGTGCAGAGGTCCACCTGATTGCAGAATTCTCGTCGTTCGGCGATCGAAAGCTTTCCGAGCCTCAACGGTGGGGTTGCCCCTGGAATCGAAGATCTCCCTTGCCCGAACTTGGAGGATTTGGAAAGCACCTCAAACGACAAAGGCACGAAAACCGCACTCGCCTCTACTCCTCACAGTCCGGTCGCGAGGGGCCTCCGGCCGGCGCGTCGTCCAACGCAGCCACGCCGGGCAACACCTGCACTACGAAGGTCTGCCCTGCTGCGCTTTGTGACAGCCACCCCACCAAGCCCATCGCCTTGCCCTCCAAAAGCTCCAGGGAAGCACCACCTCCGGTGGAGCAGTGGGTGACCTCTCGGCGAAAGCGAGCAAGTTCGGCCCCGGGGCGAGTCGTTTCCCTCTCCGGCCTTGTCCTCCGTGTCATACTTCTTGCAGGCCTAAGAGGCGCGAGAGGCTCTTCTGAATTAGTCGACCGCTGCTGTTTTTTTAACCATCGGCACAAAACGCGCACAAGCGATGGGAACTTCAATAGGAGGCTCGAAGGCACTGGACTGAGGTCCGAACCGTGGCGGTGTCGCCCCCTCCGATGACCTTCGAGGCCATGGATCACAGGCTGTCGGCTGTACAGCTGCCTTGAACGAGGCCGCTAAGGCTGCTAGAGTCGCTAGAGCTGCCTTTGAGGCGTTCGGAAATCTGCACCCGAAAACCGAAAGATGCGCCAAATGTTGAAACGAACTCGCAAAGCTGTGAGTCCCATCTTGCGACATCGGGGCAGTTGCCTGGTCGCTCAACATCACAGCAACACAGAATCTCTGTACGAACAGGCTTCTCCCGCTTAGTTACCTACTCATGTAGCGATTAAGGTCCTCTACAGTTTCAGGGTCAAGGGGTCGCTTCAACAGGCATCGTATCTCTTCAAGACGTCTCGAGCCGAGACACCGTGACTGCGCCGGACTTGGTGACCTCCACGATCTTGTCCATCATCACTGGCGAGAGGAGGGATGGGGATGGAGGGAAGAAAGGGACACGCGCCCCACACGTACAGCAGCGCCTTTGGTTCCCGTCTCGAAGGCCTTGGCAGACCGAGAAACCGGCCCGTTGGGAGCTTTGTGCTCTTAATTGCTCAGCACTTTGCGGCCATCTCGAAGACGCCCATTGGGCCGTTCCAGACGATGGTCTTGCTCCTGTCAAAGATTCGCTCTGGCTTCTCTCTTTTCTTTCACAAGGGCAAGAGGTTCTCTCTCTCTCTCTCTCTCTCCGTCTCCCTCCACGAACAAACAAAAGCCTCTCAGCCTCTTTCAGCTTCTTTCAACCTCTGAGCTTCGGCTCCTTGCAATGGTCGCCGAGTTCAATACATTGCTCTCGGGGCCGCAGTCGAGGCCTCGATGGAGACAGACCCAAACCCCCTTTTTTCTTTGTGAGGAAGCAAAAGAGGAGGCACTTCAGAAGCCCGAAAGCTGCTGATAAGGAAGGCTCCTCCACTGTTTGCCCTTTTCTCCTTTGCCCCGAAACTAATCTCCACTCCTCTGGCGGCGGAACCGCCCATCGCCCTGGCCCGAGGCACAGACCCATGAAGCCTCGGCGGAAGAAGGCGGGAGGCTCGCATGTGACTACAGCAGCAGCGTGCGCGCCGCTTGCGCCCAGCCTTGCGCTTGCGCGCAGCCCCGCTTCCGCGCGCTCTGCGTGAGGCCCCGCCCTGGGCCCATGGCCGTCCGGGATGCCGCTGGCGAGCGTGGCCGTCTTGATCTCCCCGTCCTCTCTGCGCCCACCGAAGCAAAACCGGTGCGGCAGGCAGATCTGCGGCAGATGCGGCAGAAGAGGGGGCCTCCCCGAACTTGGAGGAGATCACGAAATCGATGGGCAGCACGATCTCCTCGGATTTGAGTCACAGAAAGGAAGCCCAGAAGGCCAGAAACCCGACACCCCCTGCCGCCGTGGCTCGACTCCCTTCGCCTTGGCTTTCTCCATGATCTCCGGCACGATCTTCGCGCCCTCCTCGAAGCCGCGGAGCGGCGGCGCAGCGGAACGCACGCACAGAGACTGCGCTGTGCTGCGCTGCGCTGTGCTGCGCCTCGTCGAAAAGGGAGTTGCCGATGCTCATGCCGTGCAGGACCTCAAAGGGCACGCGCTTTAGAGGCGGCGGAGCTCCGCTCTGCTCCGCTCTGCTCCGCTCTGCTCCGCTCTGCCGGCCCGGGCCTTGATGAAGGTGAAGGCCTCAGTGCACTCTACGGCTGAAGCAGCCATGTAGACTTCACAGACTCCAAGGGGAAGGCCATGCCGCCGCCGATGATCATGGCATCCACCTGCCGAATCGCAGCGATTCTCCAGGAAACGGAGCCTAGATCACAGGTTCCGCATACACTGCCGACACCTTGTCCAGCATGTTTTTGATGAGTTGAATCTTGTCCGTCACCTGCCACACACATGCGCCCCGCTTCCACTCGAGGCTCGAGAGGCGACTCGACAAGCCCGGGCCTTGGCCCCGCCCAGAATTGCACAAACCGGCTTCACCGGGCTGTCCAAAACCTTCGCGAAGGCCTCCAGTTCCTGAAAGAGTCCTACGGTCCTACGCCCTACCGCTGCAAGATTTGCTTCTAGAACAACCCTTGTATACGGCGGACAATGTCGAGTGCTCGGTGACAAGTCAACCTAATTGAACAAACCTCCGCACAAAACACGTCCTTGGCCACCAGGAACCCCGAGCACTTCACGGAGTAGCCCTGCCAGCACGTAAAATGATTCCAACACGCACAGCTGAAACCTTCGACGGATGCCTCACCCACCATCGAGCTATGAGCGCGATGAGCCGTGCCAAAGGCGTCGCTGCCTGCTGCTGGGGGTATTCATGCGGAACGAGGCATACAACATCTAATTACAACTGCAGAGCTGCACATCTTCTTTAGATATTTTGCCACTTGCCGAGAGCCGCACAGTAGATGTCCGCCAATTTGGCGATGGAAGCTCGGAACTCCTGCCCGTCTGTGTAGGTTGCCGGACATCACTGCAAAAAACGCCCTTACGGCGGTATTTTCAGCCGCTTTCGAATCTCCCTTCAGCAGGCCACTCAAGCCGCGCCTTCGTTTTCTCTTTGTCGGCCTTGATCTTGTTTCCATCCTTGCGGGTGGACCGTGTTCACCAAATTTGCCGGTGCCCGTTACATGTCGGTGCTTTTCGAGCTCCGGTCCCCGGCCCCGCGGGCTTCCGGCCTTGTCCTGGCCTTTGCCCTCCTCCTCCACGTGGAAGCGGCAGTTCTGCACCAGATACACAGAGACTCGCACACGCGCGCTGCAGGCCCAGGGCCTCCAGCAGGATCACGGAGCCCGGCGCAGGATTCGCACAGGCGGCCTCGCAGAGCCCAGCAGAGCCCAGCAGAGCCCAGCAGAGCCCAGCAGAGCCACATAGCCGTAGCTGGCACTTTTGGTCGCGGCCTCAACCTCTGAGCCACAGCAGTCCTGGAAGGTGCAACCCTACGGCAACGGGGATATCACCGCTGTCAAGACTGTCGTCGTCCTTCAGGAAGGTGACGGGTTTCCCCAACTTCTCTTGGACGCACTTCGCGACCGGAGCCAATGAGTACCTGTGGCAAACAACTTCTGCAGCCCGTAGGAAGGCTAGAAGATACCGTCTTGAAAGCTCTTCGTGAATTATTCGAAGCTGAAGACACTCAAGGCATGTCCGGCGCACTTCTCGACTACGCTTCCATCCGGTCGACCAAGATGTGAACAGAGCACGACGGATTTGCAACCCTGACGAAGAAATGTCGGAGAAGCTCGTTGGAAGATGGAAAGAGCATACACGGCAACGCAGGCTAGCAACTGTCCCACTTCCATCCAGCACCGAACTTGCAAAGAAAGCTTCATTAGTCAGTTCATTTTCCAACAGATGCTGTTCAACATATTCGATCAGAAAGCATGCGTTCAGACAAGCCTTGTCGAGGCAATACTTGATGGTGGGCAACGCCGCATCAATGCGTTGGGTGTTGGTGATGATGCTTGGGTCCTGAAATCAGCAAGGCAGTTTGCAGTGCTCTTCCTTCAACTCTATGCATCACTGCAATGCTACATCAACTTGACTGCAAGCTTAAACTCCGATCTCGGACAATTTCTCGGACAATTTCGAGCATCCGGCACCTTCTTATCTTGCGGCACGTTGAAATCGACGCGGATGAACACACGCTTTCCAGCCACATCCACAGAATCAATCCTGCCATCGTTTGAGGAGATTTCTGTCACCGACAAACGAGAAACAAACCTGCCTTAGCTTGTTCAACGCCATGCCGCAAACCTCACTGGACAGAAATGGGTCTTTAGAGCCAAAGCTGCGTGAAACAGTGCTGTTGCTGCCAACTAACGTACGACAGGAAAAATGAACAATAGAACCAAGACTGCAGAAATATTAACAACGGATCGTTTTCGACGTACGGGCGACGACAAGTGCCGCTTGTTTGAAGCACCGTGATCCTTCATCCCTGGCAACCCTGTCGCTCTCCGGTTCGTTGCAACTGCCTGCTCATAACTTCCGCTTGTTGGGTTCAACATGGTTTGCTCTTGTTTACACGAGTGTGGAACCGAAACTTTTCGTCTGAACTCCGTGGCAAACGGACTTCCGCCTACCTCTTCGCCTAAATCCTGCAAGAGGAAGCGCTGGATAGCAACCTAGTTGTACCTCCAACCCGAAGCCCGAGCCCTGAGACCCAAACCCGAGTGGCAGACTCTGAAATGCTTCATAGGGTTGCAAAGTCAAAATCCAGAAATGTCGTGAACCAAAGCTTAAGCCCAAAAATGCCACATGGGTGGCAAAGCCTCAAGCCTACAAGGCTTGTAAACCCTGGGAAGCGCAACAACGTGTGCCAAAGGGCTTGCCACGGAGGTAGAGAAGCTAGGCGCGCTCGGTTTTGTTGGGCATCAATGGCTGCAGTCAGCAGGTCGGAGAAAATTACGGCAAGAGCCTGAGTCGTCAACTCTGTTGCAAGCAGGCTCTCTTCTGAAGCCGTTGCAGAGGAGTCTGTAAGACGGACACGGAAGGCAAAGAGACGAAGCGGTCGGAGACCAACTATCGCTGTGGCGTTCGGGCCAACTGCAACCAATAATTATAAATCAAAATCGTTGTCTATTTCTCGATTGTCGTGCAACCCAACCAAAGGCAGACGGCAAAGCCGCTGCATGAAGTACAAGCAACGCGAAAAAGACGGAACTACAACCAAGGCCCAGCAAAGTACCAAGCACAACACTTGGACAGAGTCTTCGTTTTACCTTGCTTGGCCACGCAGTTCCGCTCTTGAGCCAACTTAGGCACAAAGTCTTGCAGCAAACTAAAGGCGAAGACTGCCAAACGGTGGTTTGGAGCTCTAAACACTTGACAGCCAAGAAGGCCCAGGTACTACCAGACTACTTCGGAAACGTCCAAAACAGAGGAAACGTACAGAGACTACAGCTCTAAAGCGAAAAGTGCCCCCTCACACTCTAAGTGGAAGAAAACTAACTGTGACCTGCTCTTGTTTCCCACCTTTCTCCCTCAGACAAACACTGAGGTGTGGGGGGTTCGATCCTGGGTTAAACCCAGGTTCGAACTTTTCTTTTCTTTTAAGAAAGTTCCAATCCAGGTTGAACCCAGGTTCGAACTTTTGCACGGAGGGTTAAAACCTGACGTTCTCTCCAAACAGGAAAAGAGAAAGCCACAAGAACGCTTTTGGGTGTTAAAAAACCAAACAAAAAGATTTAAAAAACATGAAAACCAAATCCATTTTCAAACCTGGGTTTAAAACCTGCCGCTCTCCAAACACAAAAGGTGACGCTTTTGGGGCCAAACAACAAAGTACATTTTTGTTTAGATGAGGCCAGGTGGCGGGCTGCGCCTTCCAACCCCTGCGCCTTTTCCCCCCGCTTTTCCGCACACAAAGAACAAAGTTCTTGGAGGCTTCAGACTCCTTCTAAAACATGTAGAACATTTTCTTGAGAAGTGAAAAGAATCATGTTCAATCCAGTTTAACCCAGGTTCAAACCCAGGTGAATCTGGATTGAACCTGGGTTCAGTTCATGCTTGACATTTTGAAGAATTTTCTTTTCAACAAAATTTTTAAATCAACTTTCGGTTGACATGTGACGTGTACCTACCCCGTGAATATATAGTTAAGGGGGCACTTATGGTAACCCTTTCCAAAACCGCAAAATAATGTTACTACAGCCGCTTTTGCCACATTGCCACTACAGAGTCACTTTTTACTGCAATGCCACAACGTCACTACAAAGCTGCAGAAATAGTCTTGAAATAATGTTAATAATGACACAATATGATTTAATAATAACTTAACATTGAATTAATAATGCAATAACAACGAAGCAACAG